TGTTGAATTTTCTTGAGTTACATGTATGCAGTGTCTTTCAAAGTTGGAGGTAAGAAAGAACTGAGTGCCTGTGGCTCAGAACTGAAGTGCAAGGCAGGGAGTTGTGCAAGTGCCATGTTAAGTTTGTTGGACTTCTGCTGATCTCTTTGCCCTGAAAGAGAAGAATAAGGGCTGAATTTAAGGTGATATTTGAGAGAGATGTTTTTACATATAAACTGAACACATTTGCCACATAAATTAGCAAGCAACAACAAATGTCAGTAGCTTTGCTGTGGCACTGGTAAAATAAAAATTATTTAAAGCATTTCACTAATTGGATTAGCCTGTAGTTTTGACGCTTGCAGTGTTGTGCCTTTCCGGTTTGGCAATTGCCATCTTAGAACTTAATCTTTCTGTTGAAATTATTGATGAGTTTTCTGCCCATGTGTTTTCTTCTTAAGAAGAGCATTTTCTTTTAAGATTGACATAATTATTTACAGTATAAACATTCTTATTAGAATGCATTATAGTTTTGTCTTTAAATATTTCTGCTACGCTTGGTTACTTTTTTTTTAAATTGCACCTGTTTCTTTGAAACTGTGTTGGAGAAGAAAATAGAAAATTGTTCTTGACTAGTCACAATGAAAATTTCAGCATTGTCAGTCTGTGTGAGTCTAAAATTTAAGGCCCCTTGTATGGAAAAACGGTGGGGAATTTACTTCAAGTTGGTCTTTGTGGAGTGGAAGAAGCTAGATTGAAGTCTTTAACACACCTCAGATCTTAAAGGGAGACATCCGTCATCCATCTTGGGTGTCAGTTAATCCCTATGATACAAGCTTCATGAAAGCCTCTGTTTCACCTGAAGTGGAGAATTCTTGGTAAAGAGTAGCTCACATCACCTTTTTCTCACTTATCTCTATGGACGGACAATATCATCTCCAGGGTAAATATGCCAAAGCAGGGACCCCAAAGGCTGTGAAATGAGTGTTTACACATTTCTCCTGGACGAAGTCCACTGAAAGGTTTTTTTTAGTGTAGTGCTTAATGTATCTACTGTAAGTAGCCTTCTTTAATCTATTCCCAGAGCTGAAGATGCGCTCACATTTAGCGTAATGGGCTGGAGAGACAAGGCTTGGGCCATGTGCCTTGGGTTGGGCTATAGTGCAGCTCTACTGCAGCAGGTCAGAGGCTCAGGAGAGTTCAAAGGAGGGCCGGAGACAGCCAGAAAAGGAAATTTATTTGCTTCCAGAGTGGCTTATGATCTTGAAACCCTAAAGGAAGGCAGGACCCTCTCTACAGGGATCTAAGGACAATTCTAGACACAGGTATAATCTTGCTGCCTCCTCTTGTATTATGGATGCTCAGAAACTGCCCCCTTTAAAATCTGGGTCGTAAAGATGCATGCGGTTTTCAAGCACCTTCTACATAGGACTGTTTCCACTTATAAAATACAGAAAAACCTCTGTGAACAGAGCAATATTTGATTCCCTTTCTGATATGTCTTTTTTATTATTATACTTACTTTTAGAAGAGGTTGTGTTCTAGATGATGGATTTACTGCATTTATTTGTTTTTCTCCACCAATATCAGATCCGGATGATGTGAACATGTATTGTTTTTCTTTGCAAGCTCAGTTTGTAGTTTGAGAGATCAATAGAGTTATCTCTCTGTCCTGTGCTTTGTTTTGCTCTTGTGGAATCTATTTTTTGTTTTTCATAGACTTTGCTTTTATCAATATAAGCCAGTGATCATAGTCTAATTTCTTAGACTTCCAAAATGGTAAATCTGTTAGCAAGGGTAGCAGATGGTTATGGCTGAAGAATTTTTTAATTGTATGTTAATCCCTCTGATGTTGTTTAATGGAAGGTGTTTTGGGGACTCAGTTTTAGTCTGTATTTTCTGAGTATTGGCTGAGAAAGAATAAGGAAATTACTCTAGAGGGAGTATTTGGAGACAGTGACATAGTGAATGGAAGGCACAGGAGCTAGGACTGGAATTACTAAAAACTGCAGATGTGATTCCTGACTTGCAGAATGTCTCTGCAGAAATTATTTAAAAGGTAGGACTTGCTTTTCAGTTTTGGGTAGAACTGCAGACTGCTAGAATACACTGTTTTACAGATTTAAAACATTAATCTTGTGGAAACAAAGGAGCTCACAAGTTTTGTTAAAATATAAGGAGATATGTTAAACCAAAGCTAGTTCTTTTATTTCTTGCTCAACTGGAAAGAGAAATTTAGCATGCAAACTTTGTTCTGATATGTTTAAAAAAAACCTGTTAGGTCCTATTGCCTTTTTTTAATTGTGATGCAAATTTTTCAGAGTAGCATTATCAGAAAGGTAAAAATCAATGTAATATAACCTGGCATCTGAAATCCAAGTTGCAGCTGGGATACTTGGACATACATGAACACCGTGCTAAACTTTGTATTTTCAGCTAGTCAAATTTCCAGTTCAAAACAATATAAAGCATTTTAACAATGTTTTTTCTTGAGAGTGTGAAAAAATGTGGTGTGTGTGTGTTTATAGGCATGCATTCTTGCAGGTTATAGATATTTATAGTATCCCTTGTAATTTAGGAAGTTCAGAGTTACTGAAACAGAATAAGATACTTTAAATGTGTGGTTAATTTCTAACAGGTTATGCCAAGCTATATTCTTGGAGGTTGTTATCTTGAATTTTGTTTTGAACAGTCTAAACAGTTACTTTAACCATCAGGAATCCCTTGGACACTGGGAAATGTTGCACAGATAGTGCTCTCCAAATATCCAGCTTTCAGGCCCGCATAGATTTATCAGGTGGCAGAATATGTTCATTCCTGTTGTTATTGCCATCTGAAGTAGCTAGCAATTAAAGCTAGACAAGTTTGTTCTAGTGCATTTTGTTTATTAATCTAAAGCAGTTTTGTGAAAAGTATTGTTTTGTGTACTTAAGTTTAAGTGCTATTTTTAGTAATTCAGTGATATATTAGGAAAAATCATCCCTAAAAATCACTAGTTAATTTGGAATTAGCCAAGAAGCATAAAACAGCTGGCTGAAAACAGTCAATCTGGTCACTTACTGTTGTTAACACTCTTCTTTGTCTGGAAAGATGGTCTCATCTGCTCTATTTGAAGTTCACATATTCATTAGGTGTTTTTTTGTTTTGCTGAATTATTAAAAGGGTAATTAAGCTGACATAATCTATGCATATTTGGAATGCAATTTACAAATTTCCTTTGTGAATTGGAATGTGAATTAGTCAATTTTGGGATGATTAAGATGAGTGGGCCCAAATGCTCTTTCTTCTTCCAGCAGTGGATAAAGTTTCTGAGAAAAACTTTGATTCACAGAAGTGGTACATCCTTTCTTGTGGGTGACAACAGCATAAATATTTGAAACTGTTTGCATGTTTTCTTTTCATGCTTCTTTACATTTTTATAAAATGTCCTTAGACGGCAAGTATGGTCAAAAGCTGTTGAGCAGTTCCTGGCATCTCCAAAGAACAAATACAAATTTATAGTGCAAGGAATGATCAGTCATGGAAAGCTTCATTGGTAATAGAACTGTAACTTTCTTTAAGTGCTTTGTAGTGTGGTTTGTACAAAAATTGAATTTCATCATCATAGCTGTAGCTGAGAATTTTGAGTTACTCCTGTTTCCCAACTTGTAAACCAATAGAAACAGCTCTTGATGTCATGTGAGCTGCGCTTTGCAATATAATGTCACATGCAGCTGTTTAAAGTTTTGCTGTTATCTTTTCACACTTGCATGTACCACAGTCTCATGAAAATTTAGTTACTTAGTAGCATGGAAATCTTTCAGATGCCCCCAGAGTTTCCTTTCCAGCACTTGCATGCATGCTGCAAAGATGAGCGCAGTGGATGTGAGTCTTCTGTACTCCCTGTATGTGTGAGGAAGCTGAAAAGTGCTGTATATTTGGTTGGAGAATCAGAGTCCTTCTTAATGATAAGAGTAAACTGAGAAATGTAGGTTGGACTAATCAAAGTTAGTGAAATTTGCAGTTTTGTCATGGATATGAAGCTGATAGAACTGGGGAGAAAAAAAAAAGAGTTTTCAAGATGCTGACCTGGTCCTTTAAAGATTTTCTGTAGCAAGAGCAAAAAATGGAAAGGAATTGGCAGTCTGAATCAAAAAAGATTTGAAGGTTTTATTGTAAAGAGTGCTTTAAAATTATTTTAAAATGCAACTTTGACAACAGATGATGATGAACAAGACGTTTGGCATCAAAATGATTGATTGTGTTTGAGGAAACCTGGCAGTGTCAGACGAATGAGAGTTTGGATGGAATAATTATTCAAGTAACCTTTGTAAAACCTTGGACTCACTGAAATGCTTTGGTTTCTAATTTAACTGTTTTTGTTTTTTTAATGCAATTGTTACAGTTGCCAGTTTTAAGCTATAATTGCCTTTCATTTGTATGTTACTGTTCAGTACACTGTGAAATACACTGAATTATGATGTTTCACCTCTTACCACTGAAGCGGTAATCTTGAATCCTAATTAGAGCTGGAGATAAAGAAGTGGAAGAGGGTTGAAGATCAATGATTTTTGATAAGATATATATAAAATACATATATAAGATATAAAACTTATCATGTAGAAAAGCCCTATCACTTTAACTTCATAGATTCTTTTTATTTGAAAAGTCATTGCATAATATGATCATTTGATGAAATCTCAATTCAGAATCAATATAGATATTTGTGATTACAAAGCAGATAAAATTGTAATGTCTTTTCTAAAGAGAAAAAAAATGGAAATCTCTTACTGGTTTTCTTCCTTATTAAGACGCTTGTATTTTAAACTATTCCTTGTATTTCTTGGGATCTATCCATGGAAATAAGAATTGGGATTTCATACCATTGTCATTTCTTATCCCCTCTTCTCATATTTTCGCTAGTGTAAGCGAAACATTTCTTAGCTTTATATATATGCCGTGGGAGAGATTTTTTGTTTTCTTGGGTTGTAGTACTGCGTTCATGGAGGTGGATTTTCCTCTTTTTCTTTTTTTTTTTCCAGAACCCTGTAAAGAAAATTCCAGATTCTCATGAAATCACTCTTCAACATGGGACAAAAACAGTAAGTCATAACATGCATTATATATATATGTGTGTGTGTGTGTGTATACATATATATGTGTGTGTGTGTGCACATATATATATTTTTTTCTTTCTGGCAAACTTATTTCTCTGAACTTGCTTAATGCTGCTGTAGCAAAACTTAAATGCAGTGGGAGAAAACTAAAGTTTGTATAGCTAGACAACTGGAAGTCTGAATGTATGATCAAAAAGCTTAGTTTCTGTGTGAAGGTTGTGTTTACAGAGGTTGCAAAACGTGTCGCATAGTGGAAGAAAACCCCAACAAATCAAAGCTTTTCAGAATGTTGCATGGGTGTCTGGGAAAAACTTGAGCTGCAAGCCAATTAAAAGCAATACTCCCCTAAAGCAAGTTAGCTTTTGAAAAGTTTTAGAATTAGTTTTTGAAAGAAATTGTGATTTTAAGTGATGCTTTTTCTCCCTTTCTATTCAGTTTATAAATATGCAATAAAAAGAATTTCACAGTGGGAAGAGGCTTTTCAGTAATAGACGTAATGGGAGCCTGAAATAGTAATTGACAGTACATTAGAATGTAAATTATAACGCTATGTTAAATTTAGTGGGAAATAAGGTAGGTTTCAATTCTTTCAATACTTCAAAGAGGAAAAAGGGATTAGGATAGAGCCTAATTATATTGATATATTATTGATTCATTTTGACTGTTTTTTTTTAGAGCCACTATTTGTGGCTCTAAACTAAGCTAACAGCGGTATATTGTAATGTCAGACTTGTTCTTTCTATATCTCCAGATCTATATCTGCAAAAACTTCATTTTTTAATCTGTTTTGATATATCTTGATATATCAGTATTTGATATGTCTTATAGAATCTGTTATAGATGCTCTATCTGGCATAACATTTCATTGCAAATATTAACCTTTGCTCTTTTGTACATCTTTTTGAAATTAAGTGCTTCATATAAGCCATTCTGTATTTCCTGAAGCCTCGGTCTTCCTTGTCTTTGATTCTACCCTTTTTACATTTACAACCTTGTTTCTCCACTTTCTTTCAAAGAAGCAACTCTCTGACTCAAAACGACTATTTTTGTCTGAGTAATCTCATCTTCTAACACAAGTTCAACTTCTCTGTATGTGTGTGTGATCTGATTGACAACATGCATTCTCTGGAATGAAATAAATATCTAGATTCAATTTATATTTTGTGCAATTAATATAATAATTGTTTCAAATAATTCAACAATCAGTAAAATATCACTTTTCAGTAGTAAAGTTAGTAAGATTTTTGATACTATAACAAACTAAAACATTAAGCATCAAGTGATTTATCAATTTAGTAATCCAAGTTTTATTTATTACTATTTATACACATTTTATAAAACTTTCCAGAGGTTTAACTTAGCTATAAGAAGTATTTTTTTAGAATATTTTTAGTAGGAATGGAAAGAAACAGCAAGGATGATATATTTATGAAAATCATTCTACATGGCCAATCATTGTGGTTTGAAAACATAATTTTTTAAAAAAATTAAATTTTAGAAAGCATGAAAGACGTGTAGTATTGCATTGTAAAGAGAAAAAGTAGATTTTTTTTTTTTGTGTGCCTTCAATTCCTTTGCACAACCACTGGTTTCCTGTTTTCCGTGTGAATAGTATAATCATATTTGCTTTCTTTTACTAATTGTTTTGAGTTACAGAACATTTTCTTGACCCTTGATGATGAGATTTTTGTGTAGGTTTGCAGGTGTACTTCAGGAAGACATCAAGTATAGAAACACAATACAAAGGTCAATCACTAACAGTGAGACTGTTTTTCTTAGTTTTGAAGACCCAGCTTGTTCAGACGCATGCTACTACCCATATCCAAACTGAGGAATGCTTCTACTATATGCTTTAATGCATATTCTTTATTTGTGTGGTTTCTAAAAGTATAACCTTATATCATTTCTAGTTAAAAGGCTTTGTAAAAGGAGGAGTTAAAGTTTCGCAGGACTTCTGAGGTATTTTGACTGCATGGGAATGCAGCTGTCATCACCTAGAGCAGAGGTGAATTATAGCATGGATATATATAGTACAGTTAGATTAGGCTAGATCCAGTGCATGAAACAGACCATTGGAAAAGAAATAGCTCTTCTATAAAAGGTCTGTCCTTCTTCCTTCTTTTCTAAATAATAAAACTACTCAGACATGTAGGTGCACAGTAAAATGACAGTTACCTAAGGATGGGAGGAAGTAGGTGTCTTGTTATCTTTTTTTTTTTTTTTCTTTTTATCCCGGTGTTTTAAAAGTACGGTCTTTTCATGATATACATGCACTTCAGCTAAACTTTTATATCCCATCTGTACCTCTTCAATCTAATGATCTTGGGTTGATGATGACTGTATTCCTGTGCAGCTGAAAAGTATCAGAAAAGATTTCCCAAGCTGGAGAGTGTTTCCAGAAACCTGATTAATTTCCCAGTTGTCTTGCTCATACAGTGTAATAGGAGTTACTGTTCCCAATGAAACTTCAGGGATATATATATTTGTTTTCTTGTGACAGTCTAGACATGTAGGTAAGTATGAGAAAGAATGCAGAATCAGAGATATTCTGAGCAGGGTGCTTTCTGACTGTTCCTAGCAGTGTGCTTCAGCTTGTAGTACCTGTAGAATCAAATGCTTGAATCTGTTACATGAATGTGTGGTTAACCTGGAGATGCTCAGTGTTTCCATGTGTTAGAAATCCCAAATGAAATGAATTTTTTTCCCTACTCTCTCTTGTGGAAATATGTAAGTGGTTGCATTTTGCTCTGCCCCTAAAGCAAATTTGTCATAGTGATGCACTCATAACTGTAGTTTAATTCATTCTTAGGCCTAGTATAAAGCAGTAATACATTTAAGCATTTGATTTGAGAAAGTAAAAGAAAAATGTTGAGTACATTCGTAAATATATAAAAACTGTGTGTCTAAAAATGCCAACTAGGTTTGGGAGAGGTGCACTGGATTAATACATCTGATGATCCTTTGTGTCCTTTAGAAGAAAAGGATTTTTTAGATGTTAAAAAAAAGATGCCACTTGCTGCAAGTGAATGACTCTGAAACAAAACAGGGCAAGAAAACAGGGCAAGCCTGGGCTATAGGGTGATATCAGCATGAAGAGCAGGCTGAGCCTCGGGTAGTAACTGACTGGAAATCAGTTTGTGATAGAATAAGGAATACTTATGTGAATGTCTTCTCTGTGAAACTTGAAAAATAGAAAACTTAAAAGATTTCCGTGCTTATTCAGGTTAATTTTAATTCAATTTTAATTTTAGCAACACAAATTGTCCATCTCATCCAGAATATCTGATAAATCTTTGAGAGATTTTCTTTTTCGTGGTACTTTTATGTGTCAGTACTTTTTGTCCATACAGAACAGATGCATACCAAGCACCATCCTTATATGCAAATTATTCTAATTTTCAGAGTTGAACGTCTGGAATTTTTAATACAAGTTACTTAAAAGTACTTGAAAATAACGGGCCTAATTTTTCCAAATTCTGCAGTCCTAGCCTTATAGCCATGATATCCTATAAGTTCTGAGGGAAGAAGTTTGTTATGAAGATAATATAGGAGAAGAGAGAGGGTCTTCAGGGCTCTGGACTGTTCGGACAAAGTGTCAATAGGTTAAAAACACCTTTGTTTAACCTGAAAACTGACACTTTTAATATTTTTCCAAAGGTATCAGGTTCAAAATAGTGGGTCTGCACAAATCATTTCTAGGTAGATTAATCCAACTGTGACTGACAGAAGGATTGCTGGAAAAAGAAAGAGATTTTTGCATTCTTTGTTTGGAGAAAATGCTAAAATGCAAGTTTTGCTTGAGTAGTTCTAGTGCTTGGAAACACTGATTCATTCTGTAGTAATACCATTGTCCGTAAGTCAAAGCATTTAAGGTGGAGTATAACTTGTTGTTTCTTGAGGACTTTCTGGCTCTTCATTTCCAGGCATTCTCTAGAACATGTAACTTTATTTTCTTGTGCTGTAAAATGTCTACTTTCTGATGAGAAGGTTTCTGAGGCTGATGATCATCTGTCTAATACAGGGATGACCCAGGTTTTTGATCCAAGATCAAAACCATCCTCTGATTAGAGTCTAGAATTTATCCATGCTCTACCATGGACGTTAAATTTAATAATGGGAGTTGAAACGTAAACATGAATTCCATGCAAGTTTTAAATTCTCCTAAGAACTTTCAGCTGTTTTAACATTTGCAGGTTAGGGTTAACTTTTGGTAACTATAAAACTGTTCTTACTTTATTTCTTCTATATTTTTTTTTTCATTGCTTTCTAAAAAGTGCAGTTCTGGAAAGTTAGTCATACAAATTACTTAGCCTTAGCTAATTTTGTGCTGATATTTCAAATTAATGCAGGTAGGTAGTATTTTTATGAATCTGAAAAGAGATCTTTGTGAGGACAAATGGGAGGAGAGATGGTCTATACTGTTACTAAGTTTCTACCAGAGAATGATTTAAATACTACTGTAATAGAATTATATAAATAGAAATATAAAATACAACTTTTCTAAGCGTTCCACTTCAATAAACTCATACTTTTAATGATTTGAGGATAACAGATGAGAGCATGAAATGTTCACTTGCCTCTCCTGCCCCGTCCTGCTGGCAGATTTAACACTGTGCTTGCAGAGCTGCTTTAGATACACTAGTGTGAAATCTTAAAACTAATGAAAATGAAATGCCACTTACAATATTGAGCCGAATCTAGAGTACAATTTTCTTCAGAAAAATAAAGCATTATCTGAATAGAGCAATAGTGGATGAATAGAGCAATGACCGTTAGAAAGCGGAGAGTGTAAATTAACTTCTCTGCTGTCTTCAGTGCTGAATTCAGATGATGTAATTTCCACTTCTCACTCCCCCGTCTCAAGTATTCGGACACTGAGACATTGTACAAGAAAACTTGGAAACAAAGGACAGCTGGTGGGCAGAAGGAACAATTTAACATAGTTAATATTTTTTTGTGATTTAATAATATTTGGGTGACATATAAAGAACTGTAGAAAATAAAAACTTGCATTTTTTTTCCTCTGCTCTCTCCTGTATAGGTTTCTGCCTTGGGTTTGGATCCTTCAGGTGCCCGTTTGGTAACTGGTGGCTATGACTATGATGTGAGATTTTGGGATTTTGCTGGAATGGATGCCTCTCTCCAGGCTTTTCGGTCACTCCAGCCTTGTGAATGGTATGCATTAAGACAGTCTTTCCAACCTCAGATAAGGCCTATGTTTGTGCCTAAGCAATGCCTAATAGAATTCAGTAAACTCTTTAAGATAGTTTGTTTGAAAGCTTTTACCTCCTGTTATAATTGAGGTAAATGGAATGAGAGCCTAAGAATTTCATGTCTTTTCCTCATTTTTTCCCCAAAACTTCTTTGCTTTCCCTGTTGGAAAGCTACAGGTGAATTTGCAAATGGATTTTTTTTTTAATAGTATATCAGTCACAGGCGCAGGTTGGTGTTCATGTTTGTAGTCACTGTTAATAGAGTACCCTTTTCATTTGTATTCTACTTGCAGAGAGTCAAAGAGGAGGAGGAGTACCAGCTGAGTAGTTGTTGAGAGCCTACAGAAGGAATAAGATTTCTGTAGGATATACCAGTGTTACTGAGACAAAGAACCAATGATCTGGAAGGGCTTGTCCCTTGCACTGCAGTGATAACTGAGGCTGCTATGTGGCAAGGGGAAAATCTCAGATGTATTGTCTTACAAACAAACAAAAACTATGGTACTATGTGTGTTTATATATATATATGCAAATATATATGTGTGTGTCTGTGTGTTTAAATATACTAAACATTTTTAAAAATATTGGAGTCTTGGTTAGAGACTGCTACTCAATGGTAATTTAACACACTCTATTGAATAATTACTTATTCTAGAGAACTGGAAGATGGGACTCCTTCAAAAAGCTGTGTCTTGTGCAAAGCTAACTAGCTAATAATAACTAGCTAATAATAAGTTAATAGCAAAAATTTTTCTAAACATACCTTCTTATGGGTAACTAATGTGGTATTAGTTGTAAGATGCCTTGCATGTTTGAAAGAGATTGAAACAACTGCCTGTAACAAGCAGTCTTAAAATGCTAGTTTTTAATCTTTTTGTCATAAAGAGAAGGTGAATTTTGCACAGGTTGGAAAGATAGAATGAGAATGTCAGCCAAATGCCTTTTCTGTATCATTTTGTAAATGCAAAGAGAACCATAATTCTGCTAATTAAAAAGATTCTGTCATACTAACATGGAAGCCTGTGGTGAACACTGAGGGGTATTACATAACCCTGCCTCTGTGTGTCTATATATAATATATATATACACTGTGTATATAAAAACACTTATATAGTATATATATATATATATATACTCTCTCTATATATGTATATATTATTTGATTGCAGGGACTGCTAGCATTCACAGACCTTAATTTAGAAGAATTCTGAGGAGTTCTGGTTTGGAAGCTTTAAGTTTTAGCAGAAATCCAACTCTGGAGCTATAAATATAATTTCACTCTATGGATAAAATCCCTGAGGAAAAATCCCATGTTGTCATATTGTCCAGGATTCATTTTGTAGCCTAATATCAAATTACTGTCTTAATTTCTCCTTGGATTTAAAATGTTGAAAAAAACTGGGGGAGAACAGTAAAACTAGTATCTTCAAACTAGACCTTTGACTTTTGTTAAAGGCAAGCTTAAAGCCAACTTTTGTTACATGTGAAGGAGTTCTTTGCCTGTCCAAGTTTTGCCATTGTGTGTAGCTCTGTTCTTTAGGTCCTGGCAGAAAGTATTGTGTTGCAGGTTTGGCAGCTTTAATAGCACTAATCGAAGGCATTTAGGCTTAAAGTGAGCTTTTTTTTTTTTTTTTTTTTTTTTTTTCTGTAGGTTTCCTAAGACTTTTGTTATAACATTAATAAGAAGCAAACCTCTTTTCTTTAAGAACTGCCTCCTCAGTTCTTAAACACAGAACCTCACTTTTGATTATACTCCAATAAACATCTGAAAAGCAGTAACTTCTGGGGCCATACAAATATCCTTCTTATGGAACCAATTTCTGCATGTCATTTTAAAAGCTGCATTGCACAGTTACACCCCACCCCCTTTTTTTCTTTCTTTAACTAAAGGCTGTGAAATTTCTTTTTTTTTTTTTTCCTTCCTCTCAGACTTGTTTTTTCACCTGACAGATTTCAGTAACTGCTAGATTGATGTTCCCATTGTGCCCATCCTGCAAAATCAGGTGCTGTTCCCTGGTACAAGGAAGTTGGGTGTAAATCTAATGTAAAGATAAGAGTGTGCAGACAGATATGAAACAGATATAAAAAAAAGAGACAGTCTAATGATGTTAAGAACATTTTACTTTGTAGTTTTAATTTATGTGTTTTAGTGTCCAGAACAGAGTTTTGTAAGAAAAACCAGTCAATCGACTGACCTTGTCTTATAGATTCAGAGGTGTTTTTTTTATGGCAGGCTATTTGACTTTGTGGCTTAGTTTTCTTCATACATGAGTCATACATCAAACAAAAACAATCTTTAAAAATCTCTTGTTTTTGATTATCAAGTCTTGACATTAAAAAAATGTCTGTACTTTGGAGATGTTGCATATTTTCTTCTGAGAATTTCAGCATTGCAGTAGGAGAAATACAACTAAGTAAGCACTTAGTCCTGAGTCAGATCTGGGCAAAATAATTTTGAGCAATATACGGATCATGTGGAACAGAAAGAGTGCTTGGAGATATACCTGCTCGGTATTTATTTGTTGCTCTAAGGGTGAATCTGATGAATTCTTTAGGGTAGATTGGTTGGTTGTCTGCAGAGATCAGTCTGGAATTCAGTTCCCTGTCTCTTGCAGGTTCCTTTTTATCTTTTTCAGTGTTTTCTTTGAACTTAATGCCACTGGCCTTCATTCCCCTCTCCTGTGCAAGTGTCCATTTTTGTTCTTGAGGCCCAGGTTGATGCTTTTGCAGTCATTGCCTCTGATCTATTTTAAAAATTCCCAGATTTGAAAGTCTCCTTTCCTCAAAATTCAGAGTTTATAATACTTTGGCCAATTTGGCTGCCAGTTCACATTACATAATAGGGTGCTTGAAGCAATTTTTGGCTTTTGAATCATAATACAATCAGTTTTGCCAGAAATTCTTTGAATGAGAAACTTATGCTTAGTTTACTATGGTCAATGCTGAACTTTGCAAATATGTGTTACAGTGTTTAATGTATTTTGTGCAGTAATTTATAGACTGAGGAGAGATTTAACAGATGATAGCTACCGCTGAGGCAATCAAAGTCTTACCCTATAACCCATAAAATGTTGAACGAATAAGTTGCAAGTTGCACGCTTGAAGTTTTGTTGATCATCTGAATGTTAATGTATCTGACAGAAACCTTCTTGATCATTTGGCTACAGTTAGTATACAATACTTTATGTTGATTTTTTTTTGTTGTTGCTAATCTTTAAATTAATAATTCTTTTGAAAATATTGTACTACAATATGGAAGCCACTTTCCTATGGGGCAAAAAATTGCTCTGTTTCAGAAATTGATCAGTTTTGTTATGTTTTCTACATTTTATTGCAAAGGGTTGGCACTTCAGATGTTATGAAACTTGAGAAGAAATAATAATTTTTCTTTTGATAAAATTAATGCTAAAATATAAGAAAATCGAACCATTATTTCTTAAGGTCCATGTTGCTCACTTTGCATTGATTTAAATAGTAAAAGTAATGTAATATGATTTTTCTCATAAGAAAGTTGCTGCTTAATACTCTTTTTGCTTTGCAGTTATTATAGTGAATTTCAGACAATAGCTGGCACTATGTATTACCAGGGTTTCCCAATTTTATCAAAACAATATGTAGATTCTATATGTTTGAAAAATTTTACTTTTGATAGCTGAATGACAGTTAAAAATATTTAAGAAATTACCTCAGAAAGGATAGTTACAAGAAACTTCATAAAAGTTTCATTACGTTCATTCATCTTTCTGGGTGACAGCTGGGAAACAGTTTCCTTCACCCGGAATATAGTCTAGTCTTTGACTTCTCTTCTTCTTGCTGTGAAAGTCAGCAAATCAACACAGAAATTGGACTGTATGTTAATACAATTGAATTAAAATTTGTGTTTGGGTTTTGTGATCCTTTTGGTTTTTTTTGAGGTCTTTTTCTTGATCTTTCTTTTGAATTGAAAGGTCAGTGCTTCTTTTGAAGTGTTTGTAGACACACATGAAATTTGTGGTTCCCATTTTTTAGAAAGGTGTTTTCAATTACAAATTTAATGATAAGATCCACAAGAGCTATTGTATACTGATAGTGGTCTGTTAATCCTTGTTGTATGATGGGATTGAAGTCATTTTTGTGATTTAGTTTGCTACAGCTTTCCATTGCCAAGGGAATTGGTTGATCTTCCTGCTGCAACAGTCTTGTGAAACCTTCCTTGTTGCGGCTGTATGGTTTGGTATGAATGGGTTGGGTCTTCCAAACATGATAAATTCAGTTTAATTAAAGAGAACAAATTCTGATGATCCAATCTGATCTTGGGGATGTGGAAAAAACGATTTTGTCTCTTTTAAGGCTTTTGATGCATCTTACATGCCTTTCAAATAGGCAAACATAAGGGAAAACGCATGAGATAGTAGTTTTACAGGTTGGAAAGCCTACTATAAATTCAGATGCTGCTTTTAAGAAAATAAAAAAAGGGTTGGTCTTGTGGAGCTGAATCTATGACACACTTTGCTTGGGAGTTCATTTGCTTTAAGATTTGTCTTCTGTGTGGATGCTGTGCACATAAGAAAGCCCTTACAGCAGATGAGCTGTTAGATCTAACCTGTTGAAAGACTGGGCAAATCATTATATGGTATCCAGTTTTCCAAGGTGATAGTATGGTTAACATCACGTATTTGATGAAACTGTAAACCTGAATATAGAAAAATATGGAAGAATGCTGACAGATGACTAATTTTCTGTTGTACAATTGAGGGTTTTTTGTTGTTGTTTTTTAAGGAATTTATAGATTTCTATCAATATAAAGGTTGATTTTTTGGAGATAGGAAAAAAATTCAGTGATAAATAGCTGAATCTGTGACACATGCTTCTTTTTTTGGAAATACAGGAGCATTTTTAAATACATTTGCCAGAAATGACATTTTAGTTGCCAACTTTGTAAATATTATTGCTTTATATGCTCTGAGGAAAGTAGCATTAGACACACAAGGAAAAATAAAAAGCTTTGATATGAGATTTTTTTTTCTTATTTATGGCATAGAAATGTGTATGGGCCAATTTCTACCATATATTATCTTACTGTTGACCTTTTTTATTTTAATAATGGCTTTGTTTAAAAAAACTGAACTTAGGAACTGAATTTGACTGAAACACTTCTCTCCCTTTTTTTTTTCTTTTTCCCTCCTCTCTCCAGCCACCAGATCAAATCCCTACAGTATAGCAGCACAGGAGATGTTATTCTTGTTGTCTCTGGTAACTCACAGGCAAAAGTTCTTGACAGAGATGGTTTCCCTGTAATGGAATGCATAAAAGGAGATCAGTACATTGTGGATATGACAAATACCAAGGTAAAGAAAGGAGTGAGCTGAATTACAATACACGGTGCTTTGAGTAGGAGGTTGTGCTGGAGGCTGACCTTGAATCTGAAAAGAAGATCTTTTACAACTAACCTTTCTGTGATTCTATGATAAAATTCAACTTTTTAAAGATAGCTGGTAATTTTTATTATATATATCTCCCTACCCCTGTCCAACAAACCAAAGCAAAAATGAGAAACTATTGATCTGATGTAATCACTTGCTTTTGTTTACCCTCTTCTTTAGAAATTGTATGTCCCTTGCCAGTTTTGCCTCTGTCCAAGCCATGAATGTACAAGACTAATAAGCTAAAATGCACATGTTTTTATTAGTGGTTAAAAGTGGAAATGGAGAGCTCATAATTTGACCCATCATTTTGAAAAATTGTAACAGCTGTTGATTGGGTTTTGATCACATCAAGCATAAATGGTTTAATTCAGGTCAGTTTTATAAAGAGATTAATAGCCTAAAAAGTAGTGATAAAATCTAATGCTCAAAAGGATAATAAAGTTGATTTATTTATTACTTGTAAAGTACATTGCCAAATAACTAGTCTAAATAGTATTCTGCCCAAAGCAAAAGTTCTTGTCAGATTACTATTTCTTTTGGCTAGTAGTGTGTATATATATATATATATAAAATCATCAAATGGTAACATCTGCTCTTGCTTATTTAAAAATAATATAGATTTTCTTTCTCTTGTGAACTTTTGAAATTTTGGTGATACTACAGACAAAAAGTGTGATGTCTTTTTGTTTGTTTTTGTTTTTCTTTTTTTGTTTTATAAGTCTTTTGTATTTTTTTATATTTTCTCATTAACTCTTCAGTGTTGTGTCTGTGTATGTACTTAAACCAAAATTAAATATTGCAGAGTTGCAGATGTAGTTTCCACTCCTCTTGTAGTTTAAATGTAGTCGATGAACATGTCCCTCTATGTCAGATGAAAAGACAATGGATGAAAGTATTTTATCTTCTAAGTCATTGTAATAGTCATCTCTTATATTTGCATGAAATTTTGAATTCTAATATTTCCATCTGAAAGGAATATGCCTGAAAACTCACCTAAGTTAAGTCCACCTTGGGTACTTCCTCAGTTTGCACTAAGAATGCTAATATAGTTTCCTTTGTCATTGAATTTGTACTGTCTCATTCTTGATTAACAGATTTTTTGTTGTGGTTGTTTCTTGGAAAAGCTCATGTGGCACCATGCTGATCTGTGTTGTTTCATCCTTTCTCTGCAATACAATTTTTCCTGGAGGAAAAAAGTGATCCCTAAGTGGCAGTCTGATACTATCTTCTGAGAGGAAAAGTATATGTCAAAGAAGAATGCCTGTTTTTTTTTTTTTATAATTCCAAAAAGAAAATAAGTCAGGATGGAAGGAATTAATATATATGAATATCTTTTAAATCACTTAAATCACTGTGGTGGAAGGGCTTGATTCCTTAGTCATGATATCCTTAGTCATGGTTCCACTTTCCTGATTTGGAGTAATATTTATAAAAAATCATTCTTGAAGAAGCGTTGAGTAAAAGAAGCCCTCTCCTCTTGGTTTATAACGTTCTCAATATTTCAAGCAGATTTTATTTACTTTAAATGAAAAGTGCATCTTTACATATAAGTATTTTCTTTACATCTCTCATTTCTGAAGCTAGGTTATATTCATTCTTATTTATTCAGGGTGCTATTCATTACTCATGCAGTGATTGGCAAAGAGGCATGTCTTGATAGTTAGTAACAATGTGATTTTACAAAAGGGGATCCTAAAAATTTTAAATTTTCTTTTATTAGTAGTCTGATTAGGATCTCCGTGTTTTTTTTTTTTTTCTTAGGGTCATACAGCAATGCTCAATTCAGGCTGTTGGCATCCTAAAATAAAGGAGGAATTTTTGACATGTTCCAATGATGGGTGAGTATTTAGGCCTTTAGGTCTTTATCAGAGCTTTTTCAGCCTTGTTTGGCTTCTGCATTTTAATTTTGTGTCCTAATTTGCTTTAAAAGTCCTCCTTTTAAATGTGATCATGTGTTAAGACACAGTTAGATGAGATCTAGAAAGTTGTTTTGTTTAGTTTACTTGTTTCTTGCACAAAACTTAACACTCTATTTAACTTTATCACCGGGTATATCTTCAAATTAGAAAGACTTTCTCATAGAGACTAGAATGTAAATGAAGTGCCTGAGAAGACTGTTTCAGTTGGAAGGTACAAGTTTTAAATCAATTGTGATTTAATATTGTTTGATATTGTTTGAAAGTGTTGAAGAGATTGTTGGAAATGAGTTTGTAGCTCTAGTCTTGATCTTTGTGATAGGGAACAAATTGAAAAATGTCCTTGTGGCAGTTGCGTTGATTGCTAGCCTTATTGCAGATGTCATTAGCAAGATCAAGAGTGAGTTTTGGAGTGGTTTCAAATACGCAGTCCTCTTTACTACAGACTTACAGCACAGGAGTTGTAAGCGTGAATTGCCCCTTCCTTTGTCTGAAGTCTCTTCAACGCTAAAAAGAAAACCCTCATTATTAATTGTTTTAAATGACATTTTTTCCCAAAGTGACTGTCTTACCAGTCTGACACCCAGATACATTTGTACAAAAGTATAAACAAGTGATTCTAATAAATGCATAGCTGCTGATAAGACTCTGCCAGAAGAACAAAAATACTATGTTGTGTTTTATGGAGTATTTTACTCTTAAAGGCAAGAAGACAAAGCCAACTGCATCCTTTTTTTTTTTTTTTTTTTGTCTTAGAGACAAAATAGAGAATAAAACAAAAGTTTAATTGGTTAGTACAAATGTTTATCAACTGTTAGAATAGTTGTTTTAAAATGTTTGTTGCTCATTTAAATGTAAAGATGGTGTATTTTATAATAGGAAAAATAATTTAGTATGTTATAAATTTTCAAGATTGCCTAATTTTGTCCCACATAAACAAATGTCTAACTAACCAAATATGGATTTGGTACATCTCTTATGCGTAAATTGCAATGAATTGGAATGGTCTAGTCAAGTAAGTAAAATCCAGATAAACACTGCTATAAATGGATGTGTAATTGCATTTTCAGGGACACTAAAAATCTGACATTAAAGGAAAAATATTTTAAACCCGTTTCACTTTGTTTCAAACAAGTGAAAGGTTTTTCCAGCACTGGGGCATGTGATGTGAAAAGTAACAATGTGGATGTTTAATTTGTAACACAGGACTTGAGTGTTAAAGACAGTATTTCATTAGTGAAGGAATTCTTTTTAATAATTTGACAAGCCATTAAGCCTTAAAGGTATAACCTGTAATTAATTTAAGGTTGGAACTATATTTTTAAAGTAATAATCTGATTAGGGGCTGATTCTGCCAGAGTCTTATGTGCTTGAGAAATATATTAATTTGAAGAGATAAATACAGATGTTCTTTTCAAAAGTTGTGTCGGTTAAGGTTTGCTAGTGAATAGCATCCTCTCAAAAGGTACATTCATTACTAAGTGACTGTGGATGTCGATATCAGTTTTGGTGAATTTCTGGCTTTTTTTGTTGGTGGACTTTGACACTGCTTTTGTAATGTTCAAGAAGGTGCATTTGGAAGAGTGACTCTTAACGAGCAGTGGTTCAAAAATCACACATTGTTCTTATTTTTTAATTTAAAAAAGTAGCTATTTTTGAAAAAAGGAAAGGTAGGTGTTCTAAAATCTCTCTACTAAATTAATTTCAGAGAAGCTAGGAGAATCTGTGGTTGCATTCAGTTGAATATTTCTTCCATTTTTATGACATTCTTCAATTATGATTAATAATTACATCAGAATATCATGCTATACCATTGTTGGAGCTGCTGTGTCTCAGTTCTTACCTAGATGTTATAACTTTCTTGCAGTGTATCTAGAATTGGTGTGGTTTCATATCTATAGGCTAACTATTGGCAAGTTTTTTTCTCAAGCAAAATGTTGAGAAAAGACCTAATAAGTCTTTCTAGAAGAATGTGATTGGGCATTCAGTCCTCAATGTTTCCTTCCCTATGGTTTTGTATCTGTCAAGAAGACATATATCCATACAGACACAAATGGAAAGCTTTCCAGTGTTGCAGAATCAAGTGTCTGCTCAGCGCAAAGACTCTTTTATCTTGATAATGTGTTGTTTCTCACATGCAATGAAGGTGAGCTCTGGAAACTGCAATGGATTTATATTGTGCCCTGAAATCAGTGCTAAGTATCAATGTAAGACAGAATCACTTGAATTGCAGTGACTGCTTGGGAATTCTCTATTAGAGAATGTCGTGCCGTTTGAGTCTTTACATGCAGAGATTAATTTTCACATTGGAAAAGAAGCTGCAACAAGTGGCATGTGTGGAGGAGGGCACCTACCGCTGAACACCTTCATGGGCTCCGATAAAGGCTCATTTCTGAGTGTACTGACATAGGGCAGTGGAACCACTCTTGCCTGTAACAGGCATGAAGAAAAGTTGAATATCTTCTAGTCTTATAGGCTTGAGTATCTGTTGAACATCATGTGGATACAAAAACAAGGCTGCTAAAACCAGAAATAATACTTAAACTGAAACTTCTTTACCTTGATTAGTATTTCCATGTATTCCCCAAAGCCGATGGCCTGAGCCAACACTTGGTTTCAGAAATGCTTGCAAGGAAGGTATAAATGTTTTCAGTTTATCCAAGCTGGGTAAGAAGCTAGGAATTTACTGTAACTATTCACATGTGAGGGCTGGGTTACTTGAGAAATTGGGTGTGTGAATAGCTGCATCCTCTTGGCTCACTTCATGCTCAAAGAGAAGCCCCCACACAGTATGAGGGGTTGCTGTGGTTAATCCCGTAGATTTTGCTCTTGTTTCTAATATTGATATCACCTGTGGCAAAAACTTTCATAAATTGCAAGTTATTTGCAATGTTGTGAATTACATTTAATACTGTGGCATTTGCATTGTTGCCTCTTTAATTGAATGGTTAATGCATGCACAGAAACTAAAAAATAAAGTAAGGAAAGAGGCTTCATCTTCTGGTTGGTCTGTTGAGGCCAGGAGGTATCGTGAAAGCTAGCTTGGCATGTAATTTGTAGAAGTCCCTTCAAAGGAAAAGAATAATTATTTAAAAAGGAAAAGCAAAATTTCAAAAGATTGAAGATATTTTACTAATTTAAAAATTTCGGGTGATGAAGGCAGTTGTAGTAACCTAACTTCGTAATCCAGAAGGCGCCCTTAAGGTTGTTGTTATAAGTGAAATGTTTTGAAACATGTTATATTTAACAATTTATTCATGCAATTCATGCAAATGTATATTTTTTATGAATTCTTAAGCTCTTAATTAAATCTTAAGAATATATTTTGATTCCAATGTCTTCTAAGTTGTACATTTGTAAATTTATTACATCTTCAGACTGCATACATAGGGGTTACCAGCAGGGAGTCTCAGTGTGTTTTGTATGACTGTTCAGGTACACAGTGTTTGAACTGAGAGCAAGAAGAAGGCACTTTTCCTTTCAGCTCTTCTGTTAGATAAACACAGTCTGGTCAGCTTATACCCTGGAATGAGCCAAATCCTAGCCCTGGGAGTCGGAGATTCAAATCTGAAATCTTCTTTAGTTAACTTGCTTTAGCTCATGTGTGTGTATGTGATTGCTGGTGACTCTCTGTAATTTCGAGTGACTAACTTCACTCTGTTTTCTTGAAAATATTCTAGATGATGGCTCTTGTAAACTATTTTTTTTCCCTTTGATGCTGTAAGGATTGGGGCTACAAGACCTTTTTTAAAAAAAACTTGTTTTTATACAAGTACTTTCCTTTATCCTTGAACTAGAGATGAATAATACTTCTGTTAAACAGTTATGGATTGTTACTAGCTTGTTAATAGCAGAAGGATATAGGAAATTGTCAGTTTTATCAGTGATATTAGTAATTTTCCTTAAATGTGTGTCTGAATAATGCTAACAAATTAAGCTAGAAATTAGCTGCTTAGTAAAGTAATTCTGAAGTGTGTGCTTAGCCAGTAAAAATCCTCAATGTATATTCTCAGAACTGTGTAATAAGCTACTCCTTATTGCTTTTTTCAACATTTAAAGTGTGAAGAATAAAATCACACCAAATATGCACAGTTATATGTAGAAACTATGATGTTCAGGAAACAATGTTGTAATTACGGTTTTAAAAGTTAGCATGGTGCAAAAAATATTAGTTTTCATTACACTGGGTATTAAAATTCATAACAATTTTTCATTCCTTTTAATTCAATTTAAAACATACATACAGAGTTCTAATATTGATGTTAATTTGTCTTGTCATGCAGGCTATCTTTTAATTTTTGCCTGTACGTTATCTAGATCCAAGTGTCCCAGGGCTGATCTTGAAAGATTCTGAATACCTTTAAGGTTCTTTTAATTGCATGGACTTCTTGCCATTCCTGCCAAGGTTCAGATGCAACACATGATTAATAATTGATTTGTCTTTTTCCTAACACCCTTACCACTTTATTCAGGCTTATTTAAAACACAGGCTTGAGGTGAGAATCTACCACTTTTAGCGGCATGTTGAGCAAGTCTACAGAACTGAATTAAAGTTTATAGTAAAAGGAATTCCTGAGCAGAGTGGATTAAAACAAAACAAAACAAAACAAAAAAAAACCACTGCATTTTAAGATATAGCTAACTCCTTGTTTATATCATTCCGAAATATCAGTTGACTCCTATGTTAAAACAAAGGAGGAAGAAGAAACGGACAATATTGTTTCTGTTATTTGGATGTTTTCTTATCACACATGTGAATAATAATGTGATATTCTGTGTGAATAATCAAGAGAGCTTAGTGATTATAAAATACTACAGGAACAGGTGTTCTATGTCTCCATTCTCACATATATATGTATATGTGTGTGTGTGTGTATTATTTTTCCTTCCTTTTAGAAGTAGAGTCACAGCCAAACTTGAAA